AACTTAGAGAATGTAATAAAATACTCCTCAGGTCCATCATAGCACAGAGGGAAAGGAATCTTTGCAAAATCAGAGCAGATCTTAAAGATCTGCAAGATGATCTGGCCACTTATTCAGACCTTGATTCCTTCAACACTTGGGATAATAATATTAATGATGATATAGTTCACTTTGAAACAGATCTAATCAGTAAAAAATCTGGGAAATTTGAGAGAGACAGACTGGACTACCAACTAGGGCGGGAGTTCAACTGGAGCAGGGTTTTTCCCACACATCATTCAGAAATGGATAAAGGGGTCAGAGCTGCAGCTCCTAAGCACTTTTGGAAGCAATAGTACCCATGGTAAAGGGAAACGGGGTGGCAATCAGAAACGTACAGAGTCCAACAACAACAACAACAACATCCACAAACACCACCACAACAACTTTCATAATAAGCCACAAACCTCTTCCACTCTATATTACCACAGGAACTCCTCCCACCTTACATCTAGAGACCCCATAGGGGTCCCCCCCCTCAGGAGCACTTATCTGCACGTGCACCAAAGGGCAGCACCCCCCCCTAGACCACCCTCATCCTGGCACATCAGCTTCCCTCTCATCCTACCATCATACCAACATCAAAGAGGGTACCCATGCCAACATCAGAAACATTTTGCCCTGCAATTCACCTAGCATCAACCACCCACCCAGTTCCCCCTCTTTTTTAGAGAGAGATATTGCGGGGAATTCCACCCCCGCACCTGTCCATCAGCAGAGTCCTGTCATATCCAAAAGTTTGGGGAGAAAGAGAGAAGGAGGACTAGGAGGGGAAAGAGAGGAGGAAAGAATAACAAAAAGAGGAAGGAGGTAACCACTACACACTCCACCATTAAAATCTATAATCTATCCAGTGCGGTGTTTACAGACACAGAACTGAATTTATTACGGAAAGGCCTCAATTTTGCTCCCAAAAATCCTCCTAATCTATTTGAAATATTTATAGATCTCAACAAATATGTCAGAAACCTCACTGTCAAGAGGTATTTCACCCTCAAAAAAGAACCTCTAATGACTGCAGTTCCTCAGGTAGGGCAGTTACCTAATACCAGCTCCATTAGCAATGATCCCGCACTTCCCTTGCTGGAAAGTTTACTACAGGAAGGTGAATGTGATGGGTTTGCGTTGGCCCTTGATGATCACGTTTCAACAGTTAAAGACAGCATCATTCACACAACCTTCAAACCGGCCTCCACCTTTTATCCACATTGGGTTAAAGGGAATTTCATCCCAACTTTTTATGACATGGTGTTTGAGGATATCAAGAGGATCTGCAAACATAACAAACATCATAGCATTACAAAAAAATCTCACACTTTTTTGGGGGTGAGAACCTTGACATCACTATGACTCACATCAAAAACAGAGATGATATTATCATAAGACAAGCTGACAAAGGGGGTGGTCTGGTCATCCAGGACAAAGATGTATATCTTTTGGAAGCTTTTAGACTGATAGGAGATTGTAACACCTACGAACAGCTCCGTAGAGACCCCCTACCGGAATACAAAGATGCTTTAAAAGGGTTGCTGGATGAGGCTCTGACCAATAAAATACTATCAAACAATGAATATCAATTCCTGCTCAAACAACACCCACTGACCCCTTATTTTTTACCATATACCAAAAATTCACAAAGACTGACTAATCCCCCTGGTAGACCCATCATAGCTGGCATTGATAGTATCTCCAGCAATTTGGGATGCTACATTGATTATTTCCTCCAGGAACTAGTCGTGAGTCTACCATCCTACGTCCGAGACTCTGGGCATATGTTGGAGATCCTATCTTCCTCGAAGTGGTGTCCAGAATATAAATGGTTATCCTTGGATGTCACTTCGCTTTACACATCCATCGAACATCAATATGGCATGTTTGCCATCAAACACTTTTTGGACAATAGTGACATACCTCCCATTCAAGTAGCTTTCCTGCAAAAAGCCATCCATTATACCCTCACACATAATTACTTCTCCTTTCAAGGGAACTTCTACAGACAAATTAGAGGCACGGCTATGGGAGCCAGATTTGCCCCCAGCTATGCAAACCTCTTCATGGGGTATTGGGAGGAGGAAATCAATATGGAACAACAACCCATATCGGGGCAATCTGGCCCTGTACGCCAGATATATAGACGATATATTTTAATCATCTGGCAAGGGTCAGACGAGGATCTGGATGGGTTTCTTGCACACTGCCAAAATAACCCCTTTGGAATCGGCTTCACACATGTGGTGGATGCCAACAGTCTGGTGTTCCTAGATCTTGAACTACGGACAGACTCTGATGGCAACATCTGCTCTAAAACGCATTTTAAGCCTAGCGCAGGCAATTCCTACTTGCACGCTAGTAGCCATCACCACCCCAAATGGATCCGTAATGTCCCTTTTGGTCAGTACTGCAGGTTAAGGAGAACATGCACCACCAGAGGTGATTATGAGGAACAGAGCGCCATCTTGAGGACCAAGTTCCTTGAAAAAGGCTACAGTGAGGTCCACATCGAGGAAGCATACCAGAAGTATTGGGGCCAATATGAAGAGAGTCCACTGAATACACCACACACAGCTGCCAAAAAAGCCACTAAAGACCCCAACAATAAATTTAATAACCAGGTCAGGTTTTGCACCAGGTTCAATACTAAAGCCTTCGACATACAGCGAAGCATCCAAAAGCATTGGAAAATTCTTAAGCAGGACCCAGTTCTTGGTCAGAGCCTTGCCCCCAGACCCGAAATTGTGTTCAGGAAACCTAGGGATCTCAGGAGTCACATAGCACCCAGTAGAATTAAGAGGCCTCCTGCTGGTGCCAGGAATACGGTCAATCCTTGGTCTGCCCTGTTTGATCAAAGTGGCAGTTTCAAATGCGGTGTGAGCAATTGTGGAACCTGCAAATACATGTGCCACAGAAAGAAAGAGGTGGCTGCCACCAATGGCCGTACATATAAGATTAAGCAGTTCATCAACTGTGGTACTTCTTTTGTGATCTATGGGCTCATCTGTCCCTGTGGCCTCCTATATGTTGGCCGAACCATGCGCCCCTTGAGGGTCAGGTTTGGCGAACACAAATGTAACATCATTAATTACAAGGAGAGCAATAAAGGCAAAAACAAATATTCCGTACCACGGCACTTTCAGGAGGCACACAGTGGTGACCCATCGGGCATGAAAGTATTTGGGATTGAATCCATCACAGGAGATTCAGATGGTGGAAGAAAATTCCAAAGACTATGTAAGAGGGAGACCTATTGGATCTTCACTCTGGGTTCCCTCTCACCCACTGGGCTTAATGAAGATCTTGAGATACATGGGGTCATCCACTGACTCCCGTTATGCATAGGCACCTTCTGCTGAGCTGCACATGTTCCCTAGAGTCCTACTCTCATCCTTTTTGTCTCTCTCCCAAACCCCCTCCTTTTTTTTTTTTTTTTTTCTTTCTCTCCCCCCCCCTCTTTAGTGCTAGTTCCATCATTTCCCTTGTGACCTATAGTGGGTACACCATCCACTACAGATGTATGCTTTAGATATATTCATTTTCATCAGCTATGATTACTATAGTATCATCAGTATAGCTACCATTACCCTGCATCCTTACACATTAGGTTGCTCACTTCATATTTATTGTGTCACCCTTAGGCGCTTGCGTATGACCGCATTCCCATGCGCTTGTGTCTATGGGTCATTCATTGGTCACCCATTTTTTAATTCAGTTTCCATATGTGTGTGTGGGTTTATGTGTGTATGTATAGACATGTTTTTTACTAAAAAGCAGTTGCTCATGTGGATGTGTTACACACACATGTGCGCACGCATGTTGTCCAGTGAGCTCTCTTCGAGCACTGCTTTCTTATCCAGCAAGTGCTTGTTCCATAGCGCCTTTGACATTTTTATATAGTTCTTATATATAACACATATATACATCTTTTGTACATTTTTTATATAATTATTTATTTTATTTTTATTTATTTATTTTTTTTTTTTTCCTATATATTATATTTCTTATGCTTCCATGTCTATGCATGCACACATATACCATACACTATACCATTTTACCAGATATTATACTATATTGTAACAATACTTATTTAATTTTATTTTATTTAAACTTTGTGAGCCATATTAAGAAGTTGTTTGTAACTTTTTATATCAACATTTATGTTTTACTAGTGATTTATCTCCTTTGTTCTTGTATATAGTATTGCATATGCATATCCATCCATGGTGCACTACATTGCCACACATACCTACGTTTCATCATATGACTATACTAGAATGATAAGCACACACCCTGTAGGCTGCATCTCTATGAATTAATAAGTGTCTCTGCTGGGTTTCAGATCTACTCTCTATATTAAATCCATGTCCCATGGTTGTCTATGGCAAGCAGAGCACTAGGCAGCTTCGTAGCGTTGCTCATCCATCCATTTATTTATTTAAAGGCGAGCAGTGCAGTGCATCACCAGGGAAGGATTTTTTTATTTTTTTTATATATGTGTAACTTTCCATTTATTTATTTATTTTCCACTGTGCACACTTCTTATGGTTCATATGATTTTATGATTGTCACTAGTTTCAATGGTTTTATTTGTGCGTGTATATATATATATATATATGTGTATGTATTTTTTATAGACCTTTCGTGTTTACTTACATTATGTCGATTGCCCCTGTGACTCCTCCACCTGCACAGGGGAGTGTCCAGGACGGCCCATGTGACCTTTGGTTTAACTAGTAGTGAGCATATAAAAGAGGGAGCAGACATTTGGTCAGTTGGCTCTGAGGAAGAGGCAAGTCCTCGAAACGTGTCAGCCTTTTGGATGTCTAAACTCCCTATTGTGGACTGTTACTCAGCGCGGTGTTGATCCAGCTGTTCTTCTATGATGTGCCTTGACTATATTGTCGTTTGTGAGTACAACACCTACTTTATTTTTTATTAAACATTTTTTATGGTAATGCACTAGGCCTGTGCGCCCTCTTTTTGTTCTTTCCCCATTCAGTATATTTGGATTCCCCCGGTCCATTTGAGGGCAGCAAGGTGTGCATGTTCCAGGACATTCTTAATGTGGTTGTAGCATCGAGTCCATCCCCAAGCGCAGGAGCATTTGTGTTTGCTGGTTCTTTAATCTCCTTTACTGTCTGCAGTCTCTGGTCATCCCCTGTACCGTGTCCGCGGTCTCTGGTCATCCCCTGTACCGTGTCCGCGGTCTCTGGCCATCCCCTGTACCGTGTCCGCGGTCTCTGGCCATCCCCTGTACCGTGTCCGCGTGTCTCTCTGGCCATCCCCTGTACCGTGTCCGCAGTCTCTGGCCATCCCCTGTACCGTGTCCGCAGTCTCTGGCCATCCCCTGTACCGTGTCCGCAGTCTCTGGCCATCCCCTGTACCGTGTCCGCAGTCTCTGGCCATCCCCTGTACCGTGTCCGCAGTCTCTGGCCATCCCCCCTGTATCCCCGTGTCCGCAGTCTCTGGCCATCCCCTGTACCGTGTCCGCAGTCTCTGGCCATCCCCTGTACCGTGTCCGCAGTCTCTGGCCATCCCCTGTACCGTGTCCGCAGTCTCTGGCCATCTCCTGTACCGTGTCCGCAGTCTCTGGTCATCTCCTGTACCGTGTCCGCAGTCTCTGGTCATCTCCTGTACCGTGTCCGCAGTCTCTGGTCATCTCCTGTACCGTGTCCGCAGTCTCTGGTCATCTCCTGTACCGTGTCCGCAGTCTCTGGTCATCTCCTGTACCGTGTCCGCAGTCTCTGGTCATCCCCTGTACCATGTCCGCAGTCTCTGGTCATCCCCTGTACCATGTCCGCAGTCTCTGGTCATCCCCTGTACTATGTCCGCAGTCTCTGGTCATTTCCTGTACTATGTCTGCAGTCCATTGGTTCAGAATATTTTTTCTCTTATTTTTCTCCTCTAAAACCTAGGTGCGTCTTATGGTCAGGTGCGTCTTATGGAGAGAAAAATACGGTAGTGAGTGTACAGCTTGTATAACAGTGTAAATTTGCTGTCCCCTTTGCTGATAACACAAAATTTAACACACCTGCTCCCCATTCACACCTAAGATCTTGTAACCCTAACGAGTCACATGACACAGGGAAGGGAAAATGGCTAATTGGGCCCAATTATGACATTTTCACTTAGGGGTGTACTCACTTTTGTTGCCAGCGGTTTAGACATTAATGGCTATGTGTTGAGTTATTTTGAGAGGACAGCAAATTTACACTGTTATACAAGCTGTACACTCACTACTTTACATTGTAGCAAAGTGTCATTTCTTCAATGCTGTCACATGAAAAGATATATACAAAAATGTGAGGGGTGTACTCATTCTGTGAGATACTGTGTGTGCGTGTGTATATATATATATATATACATATATATATATATATATATATATATATATATATATATATATATATATATATATATATATATATACACACACATATACATACACACACATATACATACATAGATAGATAGATAGATCACCTTGGGCACACCCACAAATGCAAACATGTACATAGGGTGCACAAGTGTATGCAAACAGAGATTGTGCCACATCTTTTATAATCTACAGTGGGGGAAATAATTATTCGATCCCCTGCAGATTTTGTAAGTTTGCCCACTTACAAAGAAATGGTCTATAATTTTTATCATAGGTGTATTTTAAATGATAGAGACAGAATATCAACCAAAAGTCTGGAAAAACACGATACAAATGTTATAAATTGAGCTTCAGTTCAGTGAGTAAAATATGTATTTGATCCCCAAGCAAAACATAACTTAGTACTTTGTGGTAAAACCCTTGTTGGCAAGCACGGAGGTAAGACATTTCTTGTAGTTAATTATCAGGTTTGCACACATCTCAGGAGGGATTTTGGTCTACTCTTCTTTACAGATCTTCTCTAAATCCTTAAGGGCTCTTGGCTGTTGCTTGGCAACCAAAGTTTTAGCTCCCTTTGCCTTTGTTTTGGGTCATTGTCATGCTGGAAGACCCATCCACGACCCATCTTCAGTGTTCTGGCTGGGGGAGGAAGGTTCAAGATTTTACATTAGATGGTCCTGTCCATTCACCCCTCAATGCGGAAAATTCGGCTTATACCTTTAGCAGAGAAACAACCCCAAAGTAGAATGTTTCCACCGCCATGCTTGACTGTAGGGATGGTGTTCTTAGGGTCATAGTTAGCATTTTTCTTCCTCCAAATACGGCGAGTCGAGTTAATGCCAGAGACCTCAATTTTGGTCTCATCTAAATCACAGCACTCTCTCCCAATCCTTCTCTGAATCATTTAGATGTTCACTGGTAAACTGAGACGGGCCTGTACTTGTGCCTTCTTATGGAGGGGGACCTTGCGGGCGCTGCAGGATTTCAATCTATGGTATTGTGTTACCAATGGTTTGTTTGGCGACTGTGGTCCCAACTGCCTTGACATCATTCACAAGCTCCTCCCGTGTAGTTCTGGGATTATCCCTCACTTTTCTCATGATCATCCTTATCCCATGAGGTGAAATCTTGCATAGAGCTCCAGACTGAGGGCGATTAATGTTTATTTTGTATTTCTTCCATTTTTGAATAATCACTCAACAGTTGTCTCCTTCTCACCAAGCTTCTTGCTGATGGTCTTGTAACTCATTCCAACCTTGTTCAGGTCTACAGTCTTGTCCCTGACATCCTTTGACAGCTCTTACCCATGATGGGGAGGTTTGAATGGAAGAATGATGCTGTGGACAGGTGTCTTTTACACACAATAACGAGTTGTCATTAGGAGCACTTTCTTAAACTGACAGGACTAATCTGTGTACTACATGAGCACATAGCCAGTCTGTGGGAACCAGAGTTATTGTTGGTTGGTAGGGGATCAAATACTTATTTTACTCACTGAACTGCAACTCAATTTCTAATAATTGTATGGTGTTTTTTTGGGGATTTTCGGTTGATATTCTGTCTTTATCATTTAGCTATGATTAAAATTATAGACCCTTCATTTCTAAATGCAAACTTTTTATTTTTACTACAATGGTTTTGCACAGAGCAGCCCCAGTCCTCTTCTTCTGGCATCCCTTACCGGTGCTCCTGGCCTCTCCCCTTTGCGGAGTGCTTGCTGGCTCCCTAGCTAGCTCTGTGTCCATTGGCTCAAAGTGCATGGAGAACAGGCTCAGGTAATTGTTTAGTGGGGGCTCTGGAGAGGGTTAAGTAATTTTATGTCCAAAACTGAGTATTTTAATGTCTACGCTAAGTTGAACAATTGCTCTAGAGGGGAAATGGTTAAATCTATATGTTATAGTCACCAAATGCAGCTGAACATTTTGGTTATTTTAGGTGCAGGAATTAGGGGCCTGTGAGGCACTGCATGCTGCATCCAACAAATGTTTTTTTGCTTCAAAAAACTACATGTCCCATGATCTCTAGGGGCATGTAGTGATGATGACATAACAGACTAGTAAGTGCACGTTTAAATAGTTTGCCTATCAAAGATCATCCATGTGCATGGGATGTGTAAGACCAGTCAGCAGTTCAAACCAGATCCACTTTCTACAGGCCTTGACTAAAGGTCTGGTCTCCATTGATCTCCAGCAAAACTTGCTGCCCTGGGGAGAGAAAATAGAGACTTCACGGGTGGATTTCTGCTCTGCATGATAGTTATGAAAAGGAAAAACAAAGCTTAGTAAGGAAACAGATTGCTTTTGCTTTGAGGTTTCTTTGCTCTGCCGGGAGTTCTGCTTTAACCTTTAATGCCACCTGGTAATGCTGCAAGCAAAGAGGAGGTTACACAGCACTTATAAAGTAAATTTAGTAGATTTCCAAAATATAATAAGTGGTGTCACAGAACATTCCTAGTTTACTAAAAAGAGAACAAAGCAGAATCTGTTTTCTTTTAGATGGTCTCTCTCCAACTTAAACTCTGTAGGGCGCAGGCAAGGAAAGAGGAGCACGAACTATAGAGTTTTATAAACAACAGGCTTTATGTGCTTCCTGGATATAAGCATAAACATTAGGCCCCTTTCACACAGGACAGATTCCGCTTTGACCAGCAGGAGATTTGTCTGCTGATCCCCTGTTGATTAGAGCAGAGTGGGCAGATGACAGGCCCATGTCTATTCAGTTTATTGAGAGTGGGACAAAGATAGAGCCCACTCTGCTTTATGGGCAGCTGAGTGTGCCCTCCAATCCACCTAGACAGAAGGGGACGGATCCACTTCTATTTTTTTTAGTGGAATGGAATAGATTGGAAACAGGCAGGTGTAAATGGTCACAAGTCTGTTTACACCCGCCAGTCCATAGGGGTGCATAAAGGGTCCAATCAGATCTGCCTGAAAAACTGACAGACGTGACTTCGTGTGAAATGGGCCTTAATATTTGGTATTTCATATTTACCTGACCAAAAAAGAAAACCTTTTTAAATTCTAATTTTAGTCCCAATACTACTGTACATCTAGAGGAAGTCAGTAAGGCAGGGATATGGTCAAACCCAACAACAATAATAGACTGCCTTTGATTACATCTCTGGCTGCACCATCACCTCAGATCACATACTAGACCATTCAACACTCAACATAAAATGTCACCATAGCATTGTTTCATTGCACTCAACATAAATCCATCACACTTGGATATTTTGTCACAATACAAATTATTGCCAAACAATAAAAGTCTAAATATTAACATCCCCCCCCCCCCCTCTGTAAGAGGAAAGAAACTGAAGTAACGAGCACCAAAAAGGGGCAGTGGTGAAGGTGGTTTATATGAAGACGTTTTCCTACAGCATCAAGTGCAGAAATAAACTGAAAAAGAAAGAAAAAACTATTAGAAATATAATAATTTGCTGAATATCAGATGATAAATCATAATTAAAGCACAACTATAAGCAAAATTGAGAAGTGTTCATCGGAAAACAACACATGTGTAAGTACAAAATGGTGATCTTCCAGGAAGGTGACAAAGCTACAAGGCCTGTAGTGAGTTCAAGATGTGTCTCTTGTGTTAATGACTCTTCTTTTAGTTGAAATTCTCCTTGGCCTATGCACCCCAACCCCCATAACCTTCTGGTGTGGCAAGGGTTAATACTAAGGGGCTCTCACAAACTCTCATCAAGGGAGCCTAGTTATAAGCACCCTTTTCCTCCTAGCTGCTCAATTCATAGAAGCCATACTTCAAGTTTTATGAATGAAACAGGATCTCCGAATGTTGTTACCTCAACAACAGTAGTTCAAGACTAGAATGATGTTACAGAAGAATTTCTGAAGAACTGAACTTCTATAACTTCACAGTCAAACCTTTTCCAATTGGCAGCAATCCAGAACCGTTGTTAAATTCTTCAGTACCAGACATCCTACAAGATTAATGTAGGAACACATCATATAGTCCTCAGGTGTGTGACAAAAAACAGTATGACGACAACTAAGGATCTGCAATCATCTTCAATCATCTTCAATTAATGATCCATTTAGTTTTCAGGAATGGTATAACTCAAATACTGTATAAAAACCACATTTTAGACCATTCATGCAGAAAAACAGAACATTCACCTTTTTTCCATATAATATAACCTGAAAGTGCAGAACAGAATTATGGAATTATGTAATATGGAATATTGTGCACTTAGGATATGCTTCACATTCACATACTTACTTGTAAGGATGATGAACATTAGTGCACACACCACTCCCATGACAATCATCATCTGTGAAAAGACACAATCATTGGCTGATACATCCTACTAAGTATGATTCATGTCCTTTTCCTTTAACTATCATATTTGGTGAGAGTAGGAGACAACGTATTATTATAATACAGGATTTATTCACAACATTGTGTGCAGCACTTTACAAACATACTCAATGAAAGTCTCTCTACATTTTCTTCTAGAGTAACACTTTTTTTTACTGATGTTGTACAATAGTTTCTAAAATAGTTTCAATCAAATAACAGAGCAATAGGATGCACAGTATGGTAACACAAATGTCTCCACATGTATGGTAGCTTATACATAGCATTACATTGTAAATTATAACAATTTTGTAATTTTATGTATAGCCATAAACATTTTTTTGGATAGAGTATGGATCAGGTTATTAATTATGCCCCGAACGTCTGTTGTGAATGCATACAGCCCTGTACACAAGTACCACTCAGATGTGCATACATCCTCCATGTATGCCACCCTGTCATTGATTCTGATAGGCTGCTGGCAACAGACTGAAAAGAGTTACAATACTATCTGCATGCAGGCAGGTGTTGGGCTGCAACTTGTCCACTGACCTGAAGGCGGCACTGGGCTGCTTCTACAGGTTAGAAGGAAACCATTAGGAATAAATTTTGTTCTCTAGAATGGCCCCCTGACAGCCATCTTATGGAGGCCAGCATCTCCTATTGGATGCTGAAATTCCAGGAGATTTAGGTGGTTATCTTGACACAGAAGTACTTAAATAGCATTTTCTGTGTCATTCAGGGTGCCCGCAGTGTGGGAGTAGGTCAGGGACCAAGCTCCGCTTGTTGAGGAGAGAGTAGGAGCAGTGTTTGGGAGAGGTACCAGACAAGGAGAAAAAGAGTAGGTTTCACCTTACAGGGTATCTCTTCTGCCAGCTTCTTGGAACGGTGTGCCACCATCAGCCAGATAAACTGCAAAGACTTTGGGGGTCTCAGAACAACCCAGTAATCTGGATACCATACCTCCTCCAAAGGAATTACTCCTCATGCATTCTGTGGTCTGTAAGCTGATATTATATTGTGTTTAAAGAAGTGTGTAACCCACAACATACACTATAGTGCCAAAAGTATTGGGACGCCTGCCTTTACATGCACATGAACTTTAAAGGCATCCCAGTCTCATTCCGTTCAATATTGAGTTGGCCCACCCTTTGCAGTTATAACAGCTTCAACTCTTCTGGGAAGGCTGTCCACAAGGTTTAGGAGTGTGTCTATGGGAATGTTTGACCATTCTTCCAGAAGCATATTTGTGAGGTCAGGCACTGATGTTGGACGAGAAGGCCTGACTTGCAGTCTCCGCTCTAATTCATCCCAAAGGTGTTCTATCAGGTTGAGGACAGGACTTTGTGCAGGCCAGTCAAGTTCCTCCACTCAAAACTTGGTCATCCTTGTCTTTATGGACCTTGCTTTGTGCACTGGTGCGCAGTCATGTTGGAACAGTAAGGGGGCATCCCCAAACTCTTCCCACAAAGTTGGGAGCATGAAATTGTCCAAAATGTCTTGGTATGCTGACACCTTAAGAGTTTACTTTAATGGAACTAAGGGCCCAAGCCCAACCCCTGAAAAACAACCCCACACCATAATCCCCCCTTCATCAAACTTTACACTTGGAACAATGCAGTCCAGCAAGTACCATTCTCCTGGTAACCGCCAAACCCAGACATGACCATTGGATTGCCAGACAGAGAAGTGTTATTTGTCACTCCAGAGAACACATCCGCACTGCTCTGGAGTCAAGCTTTACACCAGTGTATCCGATACTTGCACTTGTTGATGTGAGGCTTGGATGTAGCTGCTCGGCCATGGAAACCCATTCCATGAAGCTCTCTATGCACTGTTGTGCTAATCTGAAGGCCACACAATATTAGGAGGCCTTTAGCTATTGACTTTGCAGACAGTTAGCAACTTTTGCACACTGTGCACTTCAGCAAGCGCTGACTCTGCTCTCTCATTTTCGTGGCCTACCACTTCTTGGCTGTTGTTCCCAGTTGCTTCCACTTTTTTATAATACCACTAACAGTTGACCGTGGAATATTTAATAGCAAGGAAATTTCACGGATGAACCTATTGCCCAGATGGCAACCTATCATGGTATCATGCTTGAATTCATTGAGCTCCTGAGAGCGACCCATTCTTTCACAAATGTTTGTAGAAGCAGTCTGCATGCCTAGGTGATTTATTTAATACATTTGTTGCCGTGGAGGTGATTGGAACACCTGAATTCAATGATTTATAGGGGTGTCCCAATACCTTTGCCTTTTATAGTGTATATGGTACCATTTCTGTAAAATACTTTATTTTTGTGATCATTCAGTTACCAAACTATCAATTAATGTTTACGGACCAATGTGCATTGACTATCCACTTTTTGGGTATGCTGGTGAAGCCCTGCCCACACGTAGCTCACGTAACATGTAAGCATCTGCACGTTCCCTGCAAGTTCTTGAACAGTGAATGGAAACTCTGCATACAGCTGGTTTAGTTGGTGATTTTAGTAATAACAATAATCAGGAATCATCATGAATGGAGGGATGCTTCATGAAAGGAAATTTTATATTATTTTGTTAGGGCAGTGTGATCTATAAATATAAAATCTGTAGTTTAAGAGAGTCTTGTGAGTTCCTTAGTACCTTTCCCTTTTATGTCTACTGCTGGATTCATCTAAAATGTTCATTGGTGGTCAGAAAAGGAAAAAGTAAACATAAATTGTAAATGTCTTGAGTTTGTGCTTCCTACTCTTATCCTATCATAGACATTTCTCTATGAGAGTTTTACTGTACATTTGATGAGAATATATAAATAACTCCCATGAAAAAGTAGCTTTATTCTTAAGTGATTTCCACTTTGTTCTCCTGGGATTAGCACTTCTCACCTTGCAGTTCTTCCACCAATATTTCCTCTTAAGTTTGGCTGCGCTTGTCTCAAACTGCGAGGCCCCGGCCTGGAGAGCATCTGCCCTGTTATCCAGCTCTGACAGTTTCTGATCTCGATCCAGGACCTTGTCCACATTTACACGCATGATGTCCACCACCTGCCACCACCATTAGAAACAATCAAAACACAGACATAATTATAGTAGAAGTTAATGTGGCACAAATGACAAACAGCACACAATAAACTTTGCGTATCAGTAACCTCAGTTGTTACAGGTGCAGAAAGACGGTGCTATTAACAGTGCAAGAAAAATGGAAAAAGTAGAAAATAATAGCATATTGAAAGTGGCAGCAAGATAGGACAATACACAACATCGAATTAAATTACATAGTTACATAGTTAGTCTGGCTGAAAAAAGACAAAAGTCCATCCAGTTCAATCGTTACATTCAAGAATTAATGTTTTAGACTGGCTGTGCAGTAATACAGTGCCTTGAAAAAGTATTCGTACCCCTTGAAATGTTCCACATTTTGTCATGTTACAACCAAAAACGTAAATGTATTTTATTGGGATTTTATGTGATAGATCAACACAAAGTGGCACATAATCGTGAAGTGGAAGGAAAATGATAAATGTCTTTCAAAATTTTTTACAAATAAATATTTAAAAAGTGTGGCGGGCATTTGTATTCAGCCCCCAGAGGCAATACTTTGTAGAACCACCTTTCACTGCAATTACAGCTGCAAGTCTTTTTGGGTATGTCTCTACCAGCTTTGCACATCTAGAGATCTAAATTTTTGCCCATTCTTCTTTGCAAAATAGCTCAAGCTCTGTCAGATTGGATGGAGAGCGTCTGTGAACAGCAATTTTCAAGTCTTCTCACAGATTATCAATTGGATTTAGATCTTGACTTTGACTGGGCCATTCTAACACATGAATATGCTTTGAACTAAATCATTCCATTGTAGCTCTGGCTGTATATTTAGGGTCATTGTCCTACTGGAAGGTGAACCCCAGTCAAGTTTTTTTGCAGACTCTCCCAGGTTTTCTTCTAAGATTGCCCTGTATTTGGCTACATCCATCTTCCAATCAAATCCTGTCAGTTTAGGTGGACGGCCATGTCTTAGTAGGTTTGCAGTTGTGCCATACGCTTTCCATCTTCGGATGATGGATTGAACAGTGCTCTATGAGATGTTCAAAGCTTGGGCTATTTTTTATAACCTAACCCTGCTTTAAAACTTCTCCACATCTTTATCCCTGACCTGTCTGGTGTGTTCATTGGCCTTCATGATGCCGTTTGTTCACTAATGTTCTCTAACTAACCTCTGAGGTCTTCAAAGAACAGCTGTATTTATACTGAGATTAAATTACACACAGGTGGATGCTATTTACTAATTAGGTGACTTCTGAAGGCAATTGGTTCCACTAGATTTTAGTTAGGGATATCAGAGTAAAGGGGACTGAATATAAATGCATGCCACAATTTTCAGATATTTACTTGTAAAAAAAATTTGAAAAACATTTTTAATTTTCCTTCCACTTCACAATTATGTGCCTCTTTGTGTTGGTATATCGTATAAAAACCCAATAACATACATTTACGTTTTTGATTGTAACATGATAAAATGTGGAAAATTGCAAGGGGTATGAATACTTTTCAAGACACTGTAGATATTCACGCATACTTTTGCTGATTTAAGCATCTCTTGCAACTACATAGCACACAGGACACATGACAAGCTCAGGTGTAGCTCTCAAAAACTGAGCCCTACATCAAAAGCAATATAGAACCATTCATTCCTAAAATTGTATCCTTAAAGTGTATCTAAAGCCAAAATTGTTTTCTAAGTTTGGATAGAATGAGGAGGAATTAGTACCCTTGTCAGAATTGTTTTACTGCCTGAGTCCTCATTATGGAGATTTACCCTGTCTCTTAGTTCTGGTGACCATAAATCATATGGCACGTACACACACGATGAGAATATCGGACAAACCATTGTTTGGATTTTTTAGCCTGCTAGTCTCACATCGAAATTGAAAAGGTTACTAAAGATACGAAAATTCTTGTACGAAAGAAAATAATTTTGAAAGTGATGTCATGTATTTGTACTGTATTTTCGGACAACTATTGTACTGATTAAACGAAAATCATACAATCTGGAATCGTACAAGAAAAAATTTTAACGCTTGTCCCTTTGGTTATTGTCACACGAATTGTCGTGATCGGCTCTTGAATCTGTATACCAACCATCCGATTATCGGACGATCGGTCCCTCATACTAAATTTTTTAAACGATTTTCTTATCGTGTGTATGGGGGATTACGTTTTTTGTTATTTACCAGAAAGTTCAACAGAGGGAAAACTGTGCAATTTCCTCACTTCAATTTCCTTTCACTTTCAGCACAGTTGCCAAGTGTCATGAATCCTGTGGGTCAGTCTTGGGACTTTGGATGCTGACTGTCACACAGTCTGTGTCCCATGAGCTGTTCCACAGGATCTAGGATACTTGGCATTTGGCAGAGCGGCAGCAGGGTGCTGGGTTCTGGAATGCTCTTTACATTTCAACATCTGACACTGAAAGAGTGCCAGTAGCCCTGTTCCGACAACATGACGAGAGTTACATGGGAGCTTGTGATCAGCGAAGTGACCATTGACCACCAAAACAAAGGGTTAAATACCACTGCCACTGACAAGCAATGTGGGGAGGATGGGTGTAATAGTATCCCCTGTTAAAACAGTGCTGGGGTTTGGTTTTGCCTACTGACACCAATGTTCTGAGTTATCATTTGACACAGACACTGTCAGGGAAAGCAAAGTACACGTAGGAGCACAGTTATGCGCCAGTGTCGGTTACTTGATGGTCGTGCCTCTGTGTATGCACACAGGCATGCGTGTACATGTGCACGGGCGCGTTCGCGCGCCGTTGTGCATGCCTTTCACCGGACTGGCGACAGGCGAGCTATTTAAACTGATACTGCACTAGGAGTCACTGCCTTCTGGTCTACCACGTTCCCTTTTCTGCTGTTTGTGCATTCTGATTCTGTTGCTGACCTGACCTCGTTTGAACTCTGCCTGCACAGATCCAGCTTGACTCTGATTACACCCTGCCTGCTCCCCTCCACTATCTACCTCTGGTTACCGACTTCTGGCCTGAACCTTGACTATCCACTTGCTTGCTGCCTGTATCTGATCCTCCTGATAGATCTCGACCTGGCTTGTCTGACTCTGCTTCTTCCCCAGCCTGTGCTTTGCTATCTGCAGTTCCTGCAAGAACCTGCCAGCTACTGCTCCTGCTAACCTGCATCCTCCACTGACCTGCAACCTGGTCATCCAAACTACTCACTTGTCGGCTGACAGCGCAGACTTGCCCGGCACTCGTGCTACTCTTGGCTCTCCTGGTTCTCTTGTTTTCTGTCTACTCTATTAGGAGCACCGAGCAGGAGCCGCAAGAGGACGCCCTCATCTCCATGTCAGGCTCCCCTACCAAGTACGTGACAGTACCAGAAGGCCATGTCTGAGCCTGAGAGAGGGGCCTCTCCTCTAGACGAGATCTGCCATCATATTGCAGCACTAACACAAGCTGTCAAGACTCTACAAGAAGGGTATACCGGACTGGAAAATTGCCTGCAGACCCTACCTGCTCCAGCAATCTCAGCCAATGCCACAGCGGCACCTGCTCCTGCTGCTACTCCAGTAACCATGGGAACTCCTGCTGTGATGACGCTCCCGCCCGAACCCAGAGTACCCACACCTGAGAGGTTTTCCGGTGACCGCGGTAAGTTCTAGGAGTTCCATAATGCATGTGAATTATATTTCGCCTTACAACCTTGCACATTTTCACTGGAGGCAACCAAGGTGGGATTCGTGATATCTCTGCTGCAAGGGGAATCACAGGCATTGGCTCAACACCTGCTGGGGAAAGAAGACACCAAGCTATCTTCTTTAAATATCTTCTTTGATTCCATGGCCCAGCTCTACGATGATCCTCAGCGAACTGCATCAGCGGAAGCAGCTCTTCATGTTCTTCACTAGGGTTGCAGTGGAGGAGTATGTCTCTGAGTTTAGGCGCTGGAGTGCCGATACTAACTGGCATGACACTGCCCTGAGTTACCAATTCTGCTTGGGCCTTGCCAAACCTCTCAAGGATGAACTAGCCCATGTAGGGGTACCAAGCACACTAGAAGACCTCATTAATCTGGCCATTCAGATTAACCGTCGTCTCAGGTAGTGACGACTAGAAAGGTCTGCTGGTCAGGTCTGTCCAATGTGGATGCTACCCAGGGCACCACCACCGGCAAGCATGGCACCAACCAATTTGGCCATACCGCCAGCTGAAGAGCCCGAACCCATGCAACTAGGATTACTGCAGGCCTCTCTTACACCTGAAGAGCGCAAACGTCACCGACAGAATAACCGGTCTCTCTATTATGGGGAACCGGGCCACTATGTACATATTTGTCCCGCAAAGCTGCGTAAGTTCCTGACCATCTTACCTGCTAATCCACCATCTGCACCTATCAACTCTGCTCATGTTGCTATCTCCATCTCATTTCAGCTCCCGGAAAGAACCTTGCTAATCTCCACCATCATTGATTCTGAAGAGAAAAAGGAGAGAAGCGCCTCTAAGTGCAATAAGTCTTTTAATTCAAGTCTAAATGTAGAAACACTCACATGTGTGAAGTAATCATAAGCATAAAAACCGTGGTTAACAATAGTTAACGGTGGGGTGGTAACCCGGGTGAAGAACCGTCATCTCTCTGCGATGTGGGGAGGTCAGCTCTCGGCTGGAACAGCGTGGTGGCTGGAGGGGGAACAGTGGTGAGGCCAGCCTTCATGCACGTCCTCCCTCAAAGCCAGATGGAACGCACGCTGGAACGTAGCGGCGGCGTGGCCGTGATGACGTCAGATCCCAGGGTGCACTGCGACGCGTTTCGGAGCATGCACTGGCCGTGGAAGGCGGAAGTGCACTCCCTTTTTTTTTCTGCTTTTTCATGCACGCCGCCGCTACGTTCCAGCGTGCGTTCCATCTGGCTTTGAGGGAGGACGTGCATGAAGGCTGGCCTCACCACTGTTCCCCCTCCAGCCACCACGCTGTTCCAGCCGAGAGCTGACCTCCCCACATCGCAGAGAGATGACGGTTCTTC